CATGTGCACTTGTGCACAACATGGGCATAAAGGCCTTTGTTACATTTAAAATAGTTTGACAGCATATGCTGTCAGATTATACCATGCTGCCCAATACCCTGCTTTAGTTTAAGAAGTATTAAACCTCTTTCAAAAGAGTAAGTCTGCCAGGGAATGTGATGGGGTTCTAATACTTAAAAATTTGAGTGGAAACTGAAAAGGAGGGAGCACATGGGAGGGTGTTTTGAGATTGATGAACAGGCTGTTAAAGGGCTAAGTTTTAGGCTTATAAAAGGGGGGAAGAGGGAGACAAAAGGGGAGACAAGAGAGAACTGGGAGGGAATTAAGAAGAAGGAGAGCTGAAGTTCTGGGAGATAGATACACATACACAGACAGAGAAAAGGAGAATACACACAGAAAACTTAGTTTGGAGATTGAGAGCTGAAGTTCTGAAAAACAGAAAAACTGGAAAAGAACTCTGTTTGATAACACAGACAGACAAAACTAGAAATTGCATTCTTATTTGCTGTCTTGATTTCACTGGTCTTGATCTGTTTGTTCAACACTGATTTCTTCTAAATCCAACTGAGTCTGCTGGTTGTTTGTTGGTTTACTCTGGGACTTGGTCTAGCTGGGATCTTGATTCTACCCCAATTGTTTCATTTGTTGNGTTCGCAGACTTCATTTGGAAAAGTCGAAAATTTCCTCGATTTGGGATTCAAGATAAACCGGTGACTTGGGACACCAAAAGCCAAACTTTTCCCAAGTGACGACTCTGAATTAAATAAATAATCCCATTTCGAATATTGTCAGTTAAATTGGAAAAACTCCCCTCGCGCATTTAACCCTTCGGGGGCGGGCGCGCAAGAAGGAGGTGTGACAGTAAGAATGTAGTGACTTGGTTCGATGCGCGAGGGTGATAAATCCTGTTGCCTACACAGTGCAAAAATTGGATCGTCCTCTCTTGCTAAATTCAAGTTTATCCCCAAATTCACAGATTGTGGAGCATTGGCACTCAGCAGTGATTCCAAATAAATTCTCTCATCGTCTGACATAACTTGACTGATTGTAGCAATTTGCTTCTGTCCAGATATTGGTACTGTGACTTGTCGATGACCTATAAGACTATCAGCTGGAATAAGTTGTTGCTGTCCAGCATATGTCGAAGTCGATGCCAATTTGGACATTGTTGTTGCTTTTCGACCCTAAGTATGTATAACAGGTGAATTGTTTGGATCAAGCTGTTGCTGCCCAGATTGATTTGCGTCTAGCACTACAATCGAGTTGGCTTCAGGTACATTTGTGCCATTTCACTGCTGCATCGCGTCGAGCCAAACTCTATCCTTGTGTTGCTGTCCATCTTTTAGCACCTGAATTACTGACTGTAGACTGTTTTCAATTAGCTGTTGCTGTCCCGGATTTGGTGCTGCTTTATGTCGATCACAAATAGCAGTAGGAGTGTTCACAATTTGCTGCTTCTGCCTTCCAGATTTCTTGTTTGCTGCCTTTGCCTTCGAGCTAGTAACCACTGTGCTCGTTTCAATCTGTAGACTGCCTGTAGTCTGCTTTTGCTGTTCAGTCATGAAGCTAGTAGGAAAATGTTGCTGCTGTCCTGCATTTGGATGCATTAGTGCATCACATTGAGTGCGCGCACGCTGTTGTTGCATTCCAGGAGAATGATCATGAGCATAAGAAGCTTCTTGACTGCGTCGCTGCTGCTGCCCAGATTGTTGTTCAATGGAATCATCAAGCTCATCATGCACACCATTTTCCCAATGCTCCTCTTTTTCATACTCATCTCGATCTGCCCAGGCTTTGCTTCTTGGCATCATTCGATTTGAGCCATTTACTGGAGCATCTGAAACTTCTGATTTCTGCTTT